TCTGAGTCAGTACATCTTACATTTGCTGCCCCTACCAGAGAAAATTTCTGATCATTGTTGGCCATAGCTCATTCCTTGCCCTCCCACATGAGCGTAAACAATGTCATCTGCATTGATATCTGCAGCAGACAACCCTCAGGGGCTGTGTGCAATCTCTGCTGGTACCCCCTGAAGCAATTCCCATTCTGCATGGCATTGTCAGCCACTGATAGCACCCAAACGGGGTCCAGAAAGTTGTCAAGTAACTGTTTGCTGCAACCAGTTTCACTTGCCAGAAGCCATCTCTGGCATCAATGACTGAAAAGACTATTGTGTTTGCTTGATTTGGCAATATTTCAGTGACTGTTGGCAGGGAACAGTATAAGCGCTTTAGTATGCTATTGAGGTCTTTTGGATTGATGCAGATCATCAGTTTGCCTGTCTTTCTAACTGCCACCATACTGCTGATCCAGTCAATTGGCCTTGCAACTTTTTTCAGCCACCTTGTTCCATGACAGTTTTAACTTTCACCTTGAGCTCTGCTTCGAGTGTCAGTACTAACACTTTATATATAGCTGATGCCACACCATCTTAACCTTGCAGACCTTAAAAGCACTCATTATCCACAAACTTGATCCCTTGACCAGAGACTATTCTTTAATAGTCAGAAAACTAATATCTCAGATATGTTTCTTCCACCCTCAGTTCACTATGAGATGTTTTGACTTTGCAATAAACACTCCCATGTCCCAGCTATTAAGTTCTGAACTAGATAGTGTATTCCTGCTTCCATTCAATTGCAAGAAAGATCAGAACCTAATCCTTATTTACATATGAGCACTTCAGCCTAGGGCTTTCATAAAAGAATACTTTTTAATTTGATCCCACTGTAAGAAAAATTTCCATATTGTTTTATTTTTACAAAATCTGCATAGTTTACCCAGTTTCACCACAGATTCACATTCCCTTTAGCAAAGGTTTTCCTCTGCCAGTTGCTTGTCATTTCTTATACTCAGATTTTGAACCACATTATTTTCTTGTTAGTGCCATTGCACTTTCATGCTATATATTATTCAGACTGGCTTCATCACAGGTGCTCACATTTTTCTTTTTAAGAACTTACATAAATTAAATCACCAGTTTAATTTAGGATCTCTTCACTGCATGCATGTGGTCCAAAATCCGTCTCATCAAAGTTCCAACTTCACATGGGGTGACAACACCATCTTGCTCTTAAGCAGGACTTTTAACTACTAGACCCCACAGTTCTGTAGCAAAAGAGGTCAATATCATTATCACATTTTTATAAGGGTGTTGTGTAGGGGTGAAGTGACTTGTTCAAGGTCATCAAACAGAGCAGGACTTAGGTCTTGCAAGTTCCAGTCTAGTGCTTTATCCAGCAAGAAACCCTGACTGTGCTGAAGTCTGAGGTCTCCCTGTCCTTGGCCTGTTCTATTAAAATGCTGCACTGGCATTCATATAAACCATTTACCAAGGGTAACAACCATTTGTTCTGCATCAAAAAGCAAGAGAGATTGACACATACATAATCTTTTCCTATATGTGATGGATTGATCCTTGACTTAGGATCATTTCAGTTGCCTCTTCGTGTCTCTCCATTATGACAAGAATTTCCCAGGCTTTCTATGCAAGATGAGAATGCAAAGCTGTTAAACAGCCATTTCTTCCATTCTTCCCATGGAAACTTTTTATTGCCAATCCAAATCTGCAACACCTGCACTGATGAAATCGAAGGCTTACAGGCGATCACTGTGCATTTCTGTTTGTCATGTGGTGGTATAAAAACACAAAAATCCACACACTATTTATTTAAACATTTTCTGGTGAATATATATATATATACATATACATAAATATATATATATATATATATATATATTTTTTTTTTTTTTTCCAAAATACCAACAAATCTAAGCACGGTGCATAATCTCCATATACAGGTTTACCTAGAATATTCATGGTAATATGAGATAACAGTGTCTGAGGATTTTCTTTATTATTTTTTATTTATTTATTTATTTTTCTGAAGAGAAAAGTAGATTTGTGCCCACTGATGGATTCTTGGTAGAATATGAGAGTGTTAAATAGGCCTTCCTTGTACTGTGAAACTCTAATAATACTTTGCATTTGGAATATATGGTGTTCTAACAACAACATTTCATTGATACATGCTGCTTGAGTGTAATGACAGCTTTACTGAAATCTTGAGGAGGGAATTCTTCCTAATCATATGGGCAGCACAGGAGAATCAGCCTGATTCACACTCTGTTTTTCTCATTCAGTTGATGCCCAAGACAAGAAAGAGGTAGTCCTGTTGTTAGGAGGATCATGTCACTTTGCAGTATGCCCACTTATAAACACACTGCCTGATTTCTGGTGCTGCCAAGCTGAGTTTGCCTTTGTAAGATTTAAATCCAGCCATAAGGAAGGAAGGACCACAGATCAACATGGTCTCATGCAGCAAAAGCCTTAAGGATTGCCACAAACACTGTACTGGAATTTAGGAAGAACTTCTCTGATCTGATGCAAACAAATCCCAAACCTATAAGACACGCAAACCTTTTTCTGAGGTGAGAAGAAGCAATGCATATGATCCAGAGCAGTATTCATACCCCGGCGCAGACCACTGCATGCCACCTATGTACGTGTATGGAAACTGATTAATGAGCTGTCACTTTATTTGTTGACTGCTGAATTATTTATACTTATAAAGTATTTAATAATTTAGAGCTGATATCTTAACAAATTACAGCTGAAAGTGACAAGGGGAAGGTGGCACGAAAGTCTCACTTGAGATCAATGCCCTTGTTCTCAGGGCACTTCGGAACATGATTTCTGCTGACTGTCATCAGCAAAAAAGGAAGGGGGAAGTATGTTGATTTGGTATTACGTGTTAAATAGAGAGAACTGCATATTTCAGTAATCAAAGGAAAAAAAGTTGCTTTAAACCAAAAAGAACATGAAATTACTCTGAAGAAATCTACATTTCCATATGAAATGAAAATCATTGTCTTAAAAAAAAAAAAAAGACTAAATAAAAGCTAATTACAGTGTTTGTTTTTAAAATTTTGTCTCAAAGCATTTTATCCATCTTTTCTTTCCACAAAGGATTTGGATACATATTGATTTTGACCTGTATGCCACATCTTTACAAAAAAGCAAAGTCATCTTAATATGAAGAGGTTATTTTTTACTGTATCAGGACGGAAACAAAATCATCATCTACTGGCTCTATGTGAGTTAAACTTAGAGAGTGCCTGAGACAGAGAAACATAAATTCTGATTTTTTAACAAAAATCCAAATACTAACCAACAGAAAAGCTGGCAGAGCCAAACTAGCTGAAAACAAAATTTCTTTAAAAATCATCTGTATAGGTAAAAGAAAAAAAAAAATCACTCCTGGATGGCTTTTTCTTCACAGACATTTTTATAGAAGAAAAAATACTTCAATATAAATATCCAAAGTAGTAAATTCCATTCTCTAAGAAGGAATTTCCTGGGTATTAATCTAGTCTCTTTCTTTTAAATACCGCAAGAATGCAGTGTCTAGTAGAATTGCATTTTGGTGAAACGCATATTTTTAACAAAGACAAGAGGATCCTATGACAGAAATTATACTGTCATTGTGCACACAAATACATTTTTCAGGGTAACCTGTCCAACCACAAGCACTGTTTCATCTCATAACAACCCCAATTCTACTATGTCCAGTGTAGCATAATGAGCTGTGCTAGCCACTGTTGAATTCCAGTAACACTGTATATCCACATACAAGGTACCATTCACTAGTGCAAGACTGACCTCTGCTTGTATTCAGCTTGCTTTGAGCAAGCGTCATATGTCGTTCCACCACAGTATAAGTCATATCCAGCTCTATCTCCTCAAATATGCTTAGGTGATCAGTGCTTTCTACTTTGGTGTAGGCAGCTTGAATCCTACAAGGATTAAAGGCTACACATGCAGTAGAAACTTGGTTTCATAGCATTTCCCAGTATTTGCTTCTTCAACAGCAATTGCTTTCACTCTATGTGCATTTCTTTCTAATTGCTGTGTATCTCCACAGAGACTTTTATATGAGTGTGCTGCCAGCTGGACTAGGATCATAGGTGGCCATTACTGGACATTTGGGTACAATGGCTTGAATTAAGGCCAGCTGAATCCCACTAGCAGTATTTTCATTTTTCTCTCAGACACAGGCTCACCCACAGTATTTCTTCTATAGTACAGACATTTACAAGACTATCAGTACCATCAACAGACGTCAGTAATAAGATCTAGTCATTTTTTATTCTTTCCATAGTTCTACTAATGACCTCAGGGTAGAAACCCTGAACAAACCATACTTATATTTTTAACTCTTCTTAAGGAAACCATTCTAAATTCCCAGTGGAGACAAAATGATGGAGTACTCTAGAGGAACATCCTATTCATCAGTGTGCACCTCCAACTCTAGCAGCCATGTTTCTTTGAGTAAGATGAGTGGCACACAGGGTCTCCCTTTCTTCGTATCATTGAAATGTTTAAGATTTATAACAAAATCTATTTTCTGTATGTAGGCTTCACTATAGAAGCAACGTGCTTATGTGAACAGCTGGGTGGAGAATGCTAAAATTGCTAAAAAGTTTTGTTCATTATGTAAGTTGAAAGCAGATGAAGGAAGCAGAAATGACAGATCTCAGCTGAGAATTTTTTTCTTCTTTTCTAAATTCAGTATCCTCAACTCTTACAGGATATTATCTCTTTTGATACGTATTTTCCACTTTACTTCTGGGTTCTCTAATATGAAAATGCTCTATTTAACTATTCCCAGGGCACCAGAAACATATAGAATGGACAATAACAATATTTTATTTGCAACATCAAAAATATAAGTGTAAAACAAGGGTTTGTACATTTTTGAAAATTATGAAAAAAAAAAATCACTTTGAGTTGTTGTCCTCCAAGACAATTCATACTCAAAAATACATTATTTGTACTCTTTCTAAAATGTTGCATTTGTTTGTTTGTTTGTTTCTCTCTCTCTCTAATCCAGATTTATTAGTATGGGAGGGTGAACAAGCTGTGGAAAATGTGAAGCTTTTCTATAAACATAAATGATGAAAGGTGAAACACTTGGAGGATTTGTCTGTGAGGCCATATGTATAATTTCTTTCATATTAAACCTGAATTATTAAAACTGCAGGTGAAGATGATCTCAATGAAAATTACAGCTCAAGTGTTACAGAAGTACCCAGGGCACATACGGATGCACCAAATAGTACAAAACACAACATTGCATCTACTAAGGAGTAGATCACTAATCCACTCAAGGTCTTCATCCTGATCTCCAGCATTCCCACTGAGCAATTTGAGCTATTTGAGGGGCAGTTCCCCCCTGCCCCAGCCTAGAATAGTAAATATGACTAGCAGGAAGCCTGGAGAACTGACAGTATCAATGACAGAGTGAAGTCTGAAAGAGCATGGCACAAAGCTTTATTGGTCACAAGGAGATAGTCAGCTATGACATTCTTTTCCTTCACAATTCACATGATGCTCTGACACCACTTCTTTGAAGATAGCATTCAAAATACACCTGAAATCTAAGCATAACAATAACATATCAATTACTTACTTACACATTCAGGAACATCAACAGAATATTAAAAGGGACTTAGAGAAAATTTGAAAGAAAATGTCTTTCAGGTAGGCTATTCTCTGGAATGTAAACTCATAAAAAATGTCTGGGGCTAACATCAGTCTAGTAGAAATGAGCACCAGTCTGGAGATGGTATAGAAAGCACCCCGGACTTTGACTTCTCTCTATTTCTTTGAATAGAGAATTTCAGAATTTCTTTCTGAAACACAGAAGACTGTATTTCATTTCCCAGTATGGTGAATGCTATATGTGTATATTCATAAGCTGAAGTTGCATCAACCCCTCGGCTCTGCACGACACAAACTAAATTTCAGCTAGTGTGTGAAATCCTATCCTCAAGAAAGTCCATGGCAAGATCCTCATTCACTTCTTTGGGGACAGGAATTCACCCATGATGTCTTGTTAGTACTCTTTTCAGGAGGTAGCAAGCTTTTTCACATGAATCAGTAATCAGTGTGCTGCTTTCTTACACTCTCCTATACCTAAAACAGAAATAGTGTTACACTGCACTTCTATTACCCTTGGCAGCCAATTTTCTCCTTTGTCCACTCAAATGCAACCTTCCATCCTTTACTTTTTTTTTTTCATTTTTTTTTTCCCAGCAACACATTTTTATAGAACAACATAAAAATTATTATTAAAAAATCAGTGCTCTGCTAACATTTATAACTTATGTTCCAAAATCATGGACATCCTTCCTTAACTGGCCCAGACCTTCTATGGTTCTGCTGGAAGTGTTTTCTGAGACTGCAAAAACCTCACATAAAGACTCTAAGCATATAACATTTCCTATGTTAGTGGGTTTTGTCCAATGATTATTTATATATTTATTTATTTAATGTAGAATATTGTTGCTGCTGCCAGAATTTCTAGACAACCACAAGTGTCATTAAACCTTGGGCTGGACAAAGTGCTTCAGACTATTCTGTCAGTAAATAATCTCTCCTAGGTGAAGGGAGGAGTTGATGACCTAATAGCTCTTTCACTATTTTAAAGCTTCTGGGTTCATGATGCCTCAGTTCCTGGAGTGGTCCTTGAAAAATATGTGACAGATAGGAAAATAAAAATATTTTTTCATTGTCAATCTGCATAACATAGTCCTACTTGTTAGACAGGACTAATTACTTTCAAATTGTGCTTAATTTGACTTGCTGTGATAGGTGATGTGGCAAAGTGCTCTAAATTAGGACTTTCTATCTGCAGTGTTGGTCATTATAGTAAGTAATAACATCTCCTCATGGGACTTAAACATCAGATGAACTGAGTGGGCACTTTTTTACATTTTGAGAAGGATCAGGGTTTGGCTTTCCATAGCAGTGCAACAGGGGCAGCTGGTTCTATTCTACAGTTGGACTAGGGTAGGCTAGGCAATAATGATGTAAAGGCAAGAATGGCATTTGAGGAGATAAGTCTCATTCAAGGCAATCCAAGAAATTATTCATATCAATGATAAGAAGATACTTCTTTTTAAAGGTCAAATGATCAGTTCTGAATTTCTGATGAAAAAGGTCAGCATTCCCTCAAATTCTCTGAGACTTGGCATGAAAAACCCCAGTGATAACATCCCTGGTACAAAATCCAAAATTCCCAATGAAGTTCCTCATATTTGCTAATGCACATTTTCATCTGTGGATCAAAATGAAAAGCTTTACCAAAGAAACAGTTAGTTCTGTACCCATTGCCTGTGGGTCTAGAGCTAACTCTGGACGGAGGAGTGGATTATACAAACTCAAGCTAGATGGTGGGAACCTGCTGCCCTCTTCTGCCTTGTGGCATTAACAAGTCACACTGCTTGGATACCAGGCAATTTATTAGCTATTGATCGCTCTCTCCATTATGTCTCCTAAAATGATATTCTATCATGACTGGAGAATCATTACTGGACTACTACATCTAGTGAAGTGATAACATCTAGACATCATCTAGGACATCATGCACAAAAGGGCCCACCCAATATTTCTGTGAGGACATAATTAGTACCCAAGTACACATTTCAAGATTTGGCTCTGGGTTTTAGGTACATTGAAAGATTAATGCATGCAGGCTTTTGAGATCCTTCATGTCTCTATTAAAACTGGAGCACAAAAAGGCAACTAAAATTACGTAATATCCATGATAGAAGAGATTTCTTTTTTCTCTTCTTTGAAGCTAGAAACAAACAGGCACCATATAGTACAGGGAGTTACTACGATAATTAGCTTTTTTTTTTTTTTTTTTTTTTTTTTCTTCTGAATACTATAGCAAACACTATGAGAGTAAAATTCAATGCATAATCATGGCTGGTCTAAAAATGACAGCTGTTCTGGAGAAGATTGATGTATACACCAATCTCTCCTGTAAAGTATTCTGTTTCCTTGTCTCAATGTTTTGTTGTTGTTATTTTTTTTCTTATTTTTTTGTTTTTTATCTATATGAGTATGACTCTGTTTTTATGTGTATTGCTATCATTTACTTTTGGCTTGTAGATATATCTAGATAGACTTATTACTCTCACATTTGTTGTAATAGTAAGAGGACAATTTAGTTCAACAGTTAAGAAATCAGTCAGACAAACATTCAGGAGAAGATGAAAAGGAGTCCACTCAAAATTCTAGCACATTTTTTTAAAGACTGTTGCCAAAAGGTTTTTCATGTATTAAAAATCCCTTTCAATATTAAAGTAAGTAATAGATACCTCACATGGTTCTAATTAGGAACAGACTGAAAATTGTCTGTGACATTACTTAAAGACTCAAAAGGTTTCATTCACTATGATTACATATAACAAAGAAATATTGGAGAAGGGTTGAAAAAGTTTACTTCTTGTCAGAAAGCCTGGCTCTATTCTTAATCATGAAAACATTTGCTTATTAATGGTAACAGAAATAGTAGGAAATAAGTGACCACAGTTGTAGACACATCAGAACACACATTGTAGTATGGAGGGAGCATGAAACCTGAAGGAGACTTGCATTTTCTCTTAATTTCATTTCTTTTGCTGGGCAACAGACGTGCAGAGAAAAAGTACTGTATTTTCCTCAAGATATCCTCCCTGGAATGTCAGGAATTGACAATACCAGTGCAATGGGAAACGATGTCTGATCTCCCGGTTCTTCAGGTTTCATTCAGCTAAACAAACCCTCCAGGTCTCACAGTCCTTTGGGTCCATGCATTAAAATAACTCATATATATTCAGAGTCCCTCCTAGACATCTTTGTGTCATGAGCATCCTTCTTGGAGGAGACCATTTTCTCCTCCTAAATCCAGCTGAAGAATAAGCACTGCATGTGAGGTTATCGAGGGGGTGGGCACTTAAAGGATGAGAAACAGCAACAATGAAGTAGCATTACCATGAAGGGATGGGGAATACCCAGGAAAACATGTAGGCTGACATGTTCTTTGGTATACTTAGTTTGTCTATGGGCAGATTGCCACAAAGAGAAAAAAAAAAAAAAAAAAAAGAAAAAAAAAGAAAAAAAAAGGAGGGGGGAAAGCGAAAGCCTATACTTTATTTATTATTTAAATAAACAGCTTTATGCTGCTTCCATTTTGTGCTCAGTTTTACAACAATATGAGTCCATTTTCCCATCATTCTTTAATATCTATATTGTTTAGGACTTTATATACTGTATGATTAGTTGGCATTGGTACTGTTCAATCTGTACTAATCTGTATGCATTTATATTGTGTGAGCAGTTCTCTAATTGGTTTTCATCCAAGTAATCCCACAGAGAATAAGGTTACATGCTGAAAAGGGCTGAGGTGAGAGCATGGTTAAAAGGGGAGTGCAAACTCTTTTCCCATCCTTATTAAGAATGCTTTTCACATCTGCATTTTCTAAAAACATTTCTGAACTCCCTTTCTGTGAATAAGCATAAAGTCTATTCTACAGCAAAGAAATGCACAGAGAGAAATGAATCTTTCAGAGAGCCCCACCCATCTCTGTTTTATTCGTCCCATGCTGCTTTATGGTCAGCTAAGGATACGAAAAGTAAATAATACAATATAAAAGCGAAAGAAAAAAAGAAAAAAAAGAGAAGAGAAGAGAAGAGAAGAGAAGAGAAGAGAAGAGAAGAGAAGAGAAGAGAAGAGAAGAGAAGAGAAGAGAAGAGAAGAGAAGAGAAGAGAAGAGAAGAGAAGAGAAGAGAAGAGAAGAGAAGAGAAGAGAAAATACCTCTTAGTATAAAATACCAAATTTATTTTAAGCAAACAGAAAGTTCAGAGAACACAGACTAAAGATCTTTTCCTAAAGGTGACTAAAAGAATTGCAAAAAAATAAAAAAGAAAAAGGAAATAAATATAAAAATAAAGAAAGAAAGAACAACAATAACAATAATAGGAAAAAAAAAAAGTAACACAATATTTTCAAGCTCAGCTGTTTTAATCTATATCTGGCCAACTTACATAAAGATACCTAAATTTCAGGTACTTCTCACACCAGAATTTCTGAAACAGTTTGACAAGTGGTGCAGGTACTCAAGGCATTCATCAAATGGTTATTATGGTACTTGAGTTGTAAGAATATATATATATGTATATTTATAAAATCATTTAATAATAACATACTTTCCTATTCCTACCTGAAGGGCATTCATTTAGCTGAGTTTCTTGGAAGGTGCTTTGTATTTTCACTTACACACTTTCTAAGGGGAAAAAAAAAATGTGGAAGAAAATTAGGTGGAAGTTCTCCTTTTCCAGAAAAATAAGGACATATCTTGATTTGCTTCAGAAAACCGCATATTTAAATTTGAAAATACCTGTATACAGTCACTATGTATCATGCTTAGATCAAGTTCTAGCTTTATGTTCTTTTTTTCCCTCTGCCTTAAAATTAAATAAATAAATAAAATAAAATAAAAAATCCCACAACTTAAAGCCAACATAGTGAAAACTATTGTAAAGTATTGCATACTTTTAGTACATACCCATACTCACATTCTGAGCAGGTATTAGAATATTTATTTTAAAAACACAGGTTTTGCTTACCATATTCACATCTTTCAATGGCTGGTATTTAGAAGAGCCTTTTTGAAATGAAAACCTCTAGCTACTGTACATCCTTGCTGGCATGAAAATACAATTTCACACAGCTAAACAAAAGTGTTTTGTTTGTTTGTTTGTTTACTACTTAAGAAACAGATATTCTAAAATATTTTTCTGCACTTAAAGTAAGGTAAAAGATAAAATTCTAGATTTTGCTCAGAGCCATAGAGATGACAATTTTTCTTCAATTAGGTATCATCCTATCCAAGCAATAAATGTTAATCTGAACTTTAAATAAAGAAGACAGTGTGCCACTAAAGTTAGAAAGGATTTGTACCAAAGAATAATGTAAGTCTACTGTTTCCCTCCCCCATTTATGAACATTACCATGCTTCTTTTCTGCATTATCTTCTGGTAACCATTTCTGGAATATTCTTAAAAGCTGCTAAGATGATGCATTAGAATTCAGGCATGTGACAGATACAAAATTAAAGTTGACCTTCTCTGTCAGATAAAATAAACAGTTACCATTAGCAGCTTTGTACCTTCACATTTAACTCCCTATTTTCTGCCTCCTTAGTTTGGGTGCATTAGCTGACTGGTGCAAAAAAGACCCCCGGCAACACTGACTCCCAGTGGATGCATCACAATCCCTGGATCGTACACTTGGCTATATCCTTTCCTACACAGTCTAATTTCACATCTGAAATGATTCACTCTTCAGTTTGTCACACAAGAATAATATAAACAGGAGTTGCCAAGATTTCTTTAAAAATTCCTATGTCTGTATCTCTGTTAACAACCTGTGGTTTGTCCTGGTTGCTATTAAGAAATTGTATCTATGTTTGCATTTTCATGATTTTAGCAGTCATTCCAAATTTCTTGCTAAGGCTGGTCAGGTGTGTTGAGAACATCCTTCTATTCACCTGACAAACTATTAAAAATATATTTACTATGGGGAAAGTATCCATTAAAATATACAGCTTTTTACCAAACTTTAAAAAGTTGTTTTTTTTCATTATATGGTGTAGACAAAGTGCTTCTCCTCTACAGAGAACATCAGGATTCTTCAGGGTAATTAAGTAAGGATGACTGTCATATTAATTTTGATGGAAACAAGCACAAGATTTTTACCATCAGATCACACAAAAACACACACTATACAGAATTAAATGAAGAATCTATATAAAACACAGGATTCATTTTACAAGCATTGGTGCAGCAATTCTGTCATGAACTTTGACAAACACACAAAGTAAGACAACACTCTTGTGTGAATTTTGACTATTTTTCATGCATCTCATGATTTGGGAGTTTACCATATAACCATATCCTAAGCCTAACTAGGTGTTGATGGTAGAGTAAATGCATTCCCACCTCCATTTTCTTTCAGTGGCTGCAGGATTTTTCTATTGCTGTCCATTGGGATTTTCCCCATATTTTTCTTGTGTTCAATAAGGCATGGTATAACTTTGAGGAGAAACCTACTACACTAACAGTTAAATACAGGCTGTGTTAAATTGTTGGTAGGACATAGATTATTATCTTTCCCAAGACTAAAGTACATACACTGAAATCAGAAACTTTTTTTGTCCTTTGATCTAGGAGCAGAGGAGGATTTAAATTCTCAATCCATACATTTGGATATTTTTCTTAGAATTTTGTATTTATTTCCTGCAGTGACAATATCTGAAGACTTGTTTTTGTATTTTTAATGTACACACACACATACACACACACACAAACAAAACTAAAACCACCACCTATATATATATATGTCTATGTATATATATATATATAAATTAATGCAGGTTTCTTTGAGCTTGTAGGAGAAAATGCATAGAGGACATCTCAAAGTTTTAAAAAAAAGCCATACTTTCAATATCCAAAACATACGATCCCAAGTTTCTAATCATCCTAGTATTCTTTGACTTCTAATAACATTTTAGCATCCCACTTTGTATTGTTTTACCTGACTGATTAGACATCAAACCACCTTTAGAAGGCTTACACAGAACAGAAGTAGAAAAGAAAGATTTGTTTCTGTCAAAAAAAAAAAAAAAAAAAAAAAAAAAAAATCATAAGCTCAAGGGCCGTTTAACTTAGCTCAGTCACTTAGTTTATTTTGCATTAGAGGAACTTCTCATTTAATTTACCAGTCTATAATAGGTAACTTTTTTCAATATAAAGCTAAAGGTCACTATTATATGTAAGGAAAATTAAGCCGATGTTCTTGGTTGCCTTACAGTTCTCCTAGTTCAACTACTCCAATAAATGAACATGTACAACAAGCCGAAGGGCTTTTTATTACAAATTTAATTCATTTCTCTAGACAACTGTGAAATTTGCCATTGACATTAGTCATTACCCCAAGGCGAACTAAAAGATGATCTCAGTTAATAAATGATCCTTAACAAGGAACGCTCCTATCTTCTGTGATATTGGCACAGGCACATTTTATTAATGCAGGACTAGCTTCCTGCCAGAACACTAGCATTCACGACTATTTGGTGTGCTTGTTTCCTCTTCCTGCTCCTGATATTAATAATTATGCAACGGGATAATTAGCAACACAAAGAGACAGTACTATGTGCTTGCAGCTAGATTTTCAGCACGTTAACCTTCTGGGAAATAAAGAACAGAAGCAAAGAGTCTAGCCAAATAACCAATGCAGGTTGATTTCACAGTGTGTAAAAGGCTAATTATCTGTGAAAAGTCTGACCTCAAGTAACAAAATTACACAAATGTGCAGGCATTTTATTTTAAATAAAACTCAGATGCACTAGTTCATAATGTGAAGAATCATGGTTAATAACTGTCTTTCAGGACTATTTATCTATATATAGGTTTATAAAAATAAAAAGAAATCCAAGAGGGAAACAGCAGTCTCCTGCAAAATATTAGCCAGTTATCCAAATACCTGCAGAGGTATGGTAAAATATTCCCCCCGCCCCATCTCCCCCCGCCCCCACCCCTTCCCCCAACCATTGCAGTGCTAACAAAAAATATACCTAGTATGTGACAGAAGTAGGTTAAGTGCATTTTGTTTACGGGAGACAGGCTACAATAAAAAGCAGAAAATATTACTACTTCTTTACAGATACCATGTGTAATTCATTCTGATATAAGAATATTTATCCACTACCAGTAATAACAAACCACAATTTTTGTCATGAAAAAAATAAATTGTATTTGCAAAAAGCAAACACATTACGGAGTGTGTAAAAATGCAATATTCCCATTTTCTAGTCAGAGTTCCAATTTATTGAAGTAACAGAGCAGAAAATGCACTGACAGCTGTTACATTTTATTGCGAATTAGTATATACGTTTTATATCCAGTGAGCAAATGCATGATACATTGTATTCCAGTAATTGCCACTGGCTTTCCAAATGGAAACTGAATGATCTTAGTGCAATTACACTCAGGAGAGTAAGTGTAACAAGCTACAGTTCTACATTATAGCTCTTTAACAATACCAAGAATTTTACTCTGTTTAAAAAAATAAATAAATTAAATGAAAGGTCAGACTGTATCTATAAAGGTACAGAAATATACATTTATACATCTACAGATGCTAACATGAGAATTTCTGCTCTTCTGGGTTAGAATAGGTTACATATATGACAACCTATATGGTTCAAAAAGTTTGTTAGAATGCTGCTTAAGTTTTCTACTACTTTAGTCATTCCTTCAGCATCGGTAGTTTCCTGAGGGTGGTGGGGGAAATGGACAGAATGTTTGGAAAGTTTCAACACAAAAAATCAAAACTTCTCATTTCACACAAGAAATAAATGTTTCCTGTTCCTTGACAAAACACTAATGTGCCACTATCCTTGCACAGAAAATATAACATTTGCTTTGAAAAATTTAACATATTATCTTCAGACACATTTTAAATGTTTGTTACGGTAGGATTTTCCCTCCCCCAGCCATCACCTGAGATACCAACACTCCAAAGAGAGCCTATGTGCTGAGAAATTAATAGTTCAAGTGCATTAAGGGGGATTGGGGGCAGGGGGGAAAACATTTTTTTTATTATTTTTATATTTTACTAACCTTCATAAAATTTTAAAAACCATTTCGTTGGGCAACCAGTCTTGTGACAGCTTCTGCACCTTCAAGCTGTAGCGTGAAGCACTCAGGAAAGCCGGCAGTCTCCTCCCCTCTAGTGGCTACCAGCTCTCTTTGCAGCAAACAGAGGAGAAAGGCCTATAGAGGACCACCACAGGGCCATTTGTGTCATTTGTGTCATTTCTCTAAGCTTACAAGGGGAGAGGGAAACAACAACAACAACAACAAAACCACAACCACCACCACCAACAACAACAAAAATCAGAGAGGGCAGTCTACCAGTGCAGCAAATAAAAATTATCAGTCATTTAAAACAATATGATAGTAGTGACTACAACTTAATCAACACCAACCTGCTGACATAGATTTGCAATTTGAGCAGGTTATTAGTGATTGAATTAACAGCATGTCACAACTCGTATCTGATTTATTAAAGGAAGCTGACTAATGCAACAAGGCTATAAACAACATGCATGGAGACATTTTTCAGGCATGCTGACTAGTGCAATAGAGCCCATGAAAAACAGAATTAGAAACAATCTCTCTCGTTTTGCCTTATTTGCAGGTTCTTAATGTTTCTTGCATATCAGTGGTGCTACAAAGCATGAGAATCTAGACTACGAAGTCGTACTCCAGTGGAGTGCAGACCCTGTACAAAAAGTCACAAAAATATCAGTCCTGACACATCTAGTAAAAGTGTTCAATGGGGTGGGTAGGGACAGGGAAGCAATAAAAAAATCCCAGATACAGAGATGTGCCATGATCTCAGCAGTACAATAGCCTAATTATTTATTATATTTTTCATTATAGTGATCACGATGGAAGGTTTTAAGAAGAGATGAAAACTACGGAGTGGGGCAGCATGGTTTTCTGGAGGCTACCTCTCTTCCTAAGTATGTAGAATAAAGCAGGAGAAAGCACAATCTCTCTGATGTTGCGCAGAAGTAGTCAGCACTTGCAGTACTTTGATGGGTGAGGGCTAATAGCAATTTACAAGTACAAAGAAGTCTATATAGACCATGGATTAAAATTCTTTCACTTTTCAAAATTTGTCCCTGAGCAGGATTTGCTACAAGCCCCACTCTTTGCTTCTGTATCAGACCCATACACAATCACCAATACAAAAGTAAGACCTTTCACAGCTTTCACAAAACAATTTATTTCAGAGGAGCATGGTAAACACATTTAAGCGTGAGCTGTGTAGTTTAGATTTGGTGATGTATCCAAGTCCAAGGGTAACCAGACCAGATTTTGATTTGCGCCCACTCCTAATTCTGAAACAATTAGTTACAGCCCAACTAGTGGCTTGAGAGCATTTTCATGAGAAACAAGAATTTAACATAAAACCACATAACCAAGAAAATTCAGAACTGAAGCTGTCAATTCTTAGGCCAAATAGAACACATAAAGAGGCTTGTTAATGCTGAACTAATTGGCATTCTTAGCTTGACAGTCTCAGCAGAGAGACCAAGGAGTGAATAAGCATGGAGACTAAACTACCCTCTTACTCACAGGTGGTCCCTCTAGGTTAGGACTAAAGCACATTTGGAGATGAAGAAGTGAAGAGAAAAACATGTACCAACTGTACTGCTTCATTCACGAACAGAAGATTTTATCCAGCACTGAAGGCAATGCAACCAATTCTTAGCCACTGGCTACTCTGACAGCATTAGTTAGCCTGAAAACAAGCAATGGTTTCATTTCCTTTTAGCAATAGTTTATGTTTTATAATTAAGGAAGGAGGCTGATATCCTCCAGCCACCTCCATCACCATGTTAGCTTCTATAGAAATTTATGAAAAATTCCAATCTGATAAATGATGTGCTCTGTGAACAGATCGGGATAACTGCAGTATTTTCAGCCACACACACTCAGGGGAAAAAAAAAATCACCTCTGCATCCTTGAGGATACTAAGTACAAGCCAGGGAATAAGTGTACCTGCATACTTAGCCCTTCTGACCCACGCAGCAAGCTCATCCTGTGTAAAGGTGGGTATTTCTCTGGCAATTTTTAGGAGGTGAAGATCAGTTTTTATGTCATGCTTGAGCCCCTGTTATTTACAGGTAGGTCTGTAGTTCTCAGGGGTCTTCACAAGATTATTGACGCCTCATTACCTCTGGAAGGAAGCAATAAGAGGGTGACAATATATTTGCTTCAGGTGGATTGGTGCTCTGTGGTTCTCTATAGAACACTGTAATATGTTTCCTGTCTTTCCCATTGAAACTGTGCTGCATTGCAAGAGGAGGTATTGAAAATAAGATGCACAATATTAACACTGAGGATAATTAATCACTGGAACAAATTACCAAGGGCCATGGTAGATCCTTTTTCAGTGGGAGTCCTTAAATCAATATTGAATAGCTTTTTAAAAGGTATGTTCTAGCTCAGCTACAAGTCATAGGGTTCAATGCAGAAATTACAGGATGAAATTCAATGACCTATGTAATACAGGAAGTTAAGTTAAAATATTGCCTTGTAGACTTCTAGTCTTAAAATGAGTTAATTTATTAATTTGATGCCATAAGAAAAAAAAAAATAAATAAATATAGAAAAATAAGGCTGGGAAAAGATGACCTATCTTGACACAGCAGTTCTTTAACTGATGTAATATCAATGTAAATTAATGAGGAAATCTTGATCCTATAAATTGTAAAGTGGCTACTTAAAAATGACATATTCATAATTCTCCAGATCTGTTCACTTGCTACATTTTTCTCCCTTGCCTAAGGTATTCTGAGTGCAGGAATGGAATATGGTGACAATGGCAGTCCCAACTCCTGGGGCCATCTGGGGATTGTTCAGCCCCAGTGCAATTTTGAGCAGCCTCAGGGCTGCTCTAAGTTGTGCCAGCTTGTAATCATGCCCTGTAGCTGATATACCAGCTGAGGAATAGCCAGGGCACAACACAATCCATACACCACTGCACTCTTCCCTCCAGCACACCCCTAGCATGTTCCCTGAAAGAGGATGGAGAGACGGAGGAGGAGAAGAACAGCAGAAAACAGACTTTGATCAGAATCATGTCTTCCTATTGAATTTAAAATAATATGTCTAAAATAAATTGTTTTATTCTTGTTAGCACTAAACTTAAAAAAAAAAAAAAAAAAAGACAGAGTTAAAAAGACTACCTACTTCTCCTTGCATATATGTAGAATTCTTTACTAATTTAAAAGAAGTTATTAGCTGAAAAACTTACAGGCATCAACCCAGTCTCTCATGTGGAAAGGACACTGACAATTGTAATTCCTCATTTTCTAGAAAGTTTGAAATACTCAAAACAGTAAAGCATATGTAAGTTTTTGAGGCACAAATACCAATTTTAATGATAATATTTTAGAATTAAAACCTTTTTTTTTTTTTTTTTTTTTTTTTCTAGCCTCTCAGTGAGGAACCTTCAACAAAGAGATAAGCTGAATTCTGCAGTATTAAAAAATGAAAGGTCATATGTTTTGCTATTGACATCACTTAGGCTTGCTATATTTGTTTAATATAAGAAACTAGATATATTGCTCACTTCAGCCAGCCTTTGTAATTAACAAAGATACATTTCCTATACAGAAGCATTTATCGTAGAATTTCCTATAAAATATAAAAATTTGATAATGTTTGTAATGATTTAAGTAAACTGCAGTATTAGCTGCTCATGAAATGCTAAATGTTGGACTGTTTGTCCCTCACTGTTTTCTTCTCCTGTAAAACTGACTTATGTCATGAATAGTTGACCATATAGGGACCAGAAATGGTTCAAAAATCCATCCACACACAGTCTTGTCAAGTGGATCTGTCTGAACTCAGCAATTTTACATAGAAAGTTTTACAGGTTCAAGATCTAAACTTTCTAAAATGAATATTTCTGACTTGCAGTTTCTCTGTTACATTCCTGAATGCAACAAACATCTTTCTATCAGTTTTAACCTGTGAGTAACAATTTTACCCAGAGATTCCTTTTTTTTTTTTTTCCTGAAGAGAAAATAATATCATAGAAATATATGTTAAATGTTGCTCTTTAGTGCTTTTTTTGTACTGCGTATCAAGCCAAGTTGTACTTCCTTTGCCCATGGAAGATAAAAGGTTTAGTAATTTTAGGAATATGTTGGCTGATATGCACTCATTTCAGCTGAAAGTACCTCACAGGATCTGACAAAAGAAATGTAGCCTGGTAACTCATAGAAGGAAGCCTGTTGTCCTACCTTACCAAATATGTAACACCTTCCACCTGATGTTCATCATTTTTGGGGAGTTCCCTCATTCCTCATACTGATACAAAAAATGAGAGTGTTCCACCTTTTCTAAGAAATGGTCCAAATAGGGGGAAAAAATAAAAATAAAGCAGAAGAAAGCACACTCACACTAAGATTGTTCTTGTATTATCTGGCATGATTAGAGATAATAATGGCCTTTACACATCCATCCAACTGTAACAACAATGGAAACATGAAGATATGAAAAGAAAAAGAAAAAAAAAAAAAAAGGAAAAAAAAGTAGATTATGAACACTACAAAGTAGTTTTGTCTTTTAATTAATTTTAAATATACCTGTCATGAAGTCTGAGGAACTGTCTCTTTGAGAATCTAATGAACCAAACAGTTTGCTTCCTTTAGTATCCCCTCAAACATATTTCTAGATAGAAGTTTTACTTCTGAGAAGACTGAAAGGTCAAAAGAAGTTGCACACCCAGTAACAACAGCAACAGAAGGTAGATGCTTTTTCATCAGAAGACCAAATTATAAGCTACTGGAAATGGAGACTGCTTGCTACAACTGTAGCAAGTAGCAAGCTACTATCATAGACTTCAGGAGATTCTGCATTTTTAACAATACACACAAAGAAATGGATAAAGTCCTAGTTATCGCTCATGGGCAAAAGAGGAACATATTTAAGATTTTTCTGCAGATGAATGCGGGGGATGCCAAGAAAAATATAATATAGCCCTACAGATGCATAGTAAGTAATTCTTTTTCCCATATTGCAGTATCATATGTGAGGGAACACATTTGCTCCAGGATTGCCAGTTCACAGAAGGATCAATGCACAGACAGGTTCGTAGAACCCCGTGTGAACCGACTGAGCTTTCCAAATTCAGGGCAGATGAAAGGGAGCAAATAATCTGCATGGTGCCAAATTGTATATGGTGCTATAGATAGCTGATCAATGCCAGCCATGTAGCAGACCCTTGCTCTGACAATCTGAAGGTCTGCTCAGGTGACTACAAACAGAAGAAGCAAAGAGAGAACACACGGAGCACAGCGTGGGCGTTATAACTAGAGTGCTGTAAATTAGAAAGGCACACATTTGTAATTGGCATTGCTGACAAAGAAGTGGCACTAAAGTTACAGATGGAGTCAGAGCTGATGCTGGAACGAGCAGCCTAAATAGCTTGTCACTCTGAGCTCATTAAGAAGTAAAATGCAGATCAGGGAACAGCTAAGCAGCTGGGTCAGGTTGTTCATTGGCTAATTTAGTCTAAACAAGAAAGAAGGAAGGCATGAAACATGTTCTGGAAGAGTGTAAAAGAAAGCAAGGAACCAGAAGGGTAGGGGTGGCCAACCACTTGCTGCAAGCTGAAACACAGCTTAAGAGAAAACACCAAAGCCAAAGGAAGGAAAAAAAAAAAAAAAACCCTTCAAAAACAGAATTCCAAACTTAAATCAACCTTCGCCTTCTCTCTCTTTTCTTCTTCTTTCTCTCTCTCTCTCTCTCTCTCTCTTTTTCTTTTTTTAATTGTTTAACTAAAAAATAAATAAAAAATGGGGTTTCAGCTGTCTTAAAAAATCACTGGAATCCAAGAATCAAGTAGTCAGTAACACACATGCCAGTCAAGCATACAGCTATCCACGGCTGAAGACCGACACTGACATATTCATACATATGTATGAGCATCAGTATTTGCATGTCAGTGCTAAGCATGTAACAATGCAGGTACTTGGGTTAGAAAATTTAGCCAAAAAAAACTCTCTTTTAAGAACTGAAGCCAGACCTGCCACCACTGCAGTCAGAAGGCTGGAAGGCAAGGCAGTTCAGAGCCCTCTTACCCCCAAATTACAATCCCCCTGCTCACCTTTTAAAAACAGAGGTTTGCAATGAGGGTCTCCCAACAAACACACTTGAACCCAAGACTATCCAGGCTCAGAAGCCTGCCGGAAAACTTCCACCAAACTATTCAGGATACAAGTCCTTCCCAAGTTTGTCTTGCTCATAGCAGTCCCATTTTATACTCACTCCTTTCTATATAAAGACTGTATGGAATCAGCATGAAAAAGAGAGGTGATGGATACAACAGCATTAACCAATTCTTACTTGTAATTAAAGGTGTAAAATCTGTTTCATGCACAATCCTTATTTAGGTACATTCCATATCCAATAATCAAATCTCATATGAAAGAAAAGGAAGCAAATGAGCTAGAAATTCACAGTCTGACATATTTAGAAGATATCATTAGTCAATGTCATATATATATATATATATTTTGTGTGTGTATGGACTTTTAAGTATCTAAGTACCTATTAATGTGCCTCTTCAGTGATACTTGTGTCTTGTGTGTTCCATTATAATTCTCCCAAAGTAAGTTTTGTTAAATATTGTGACTTTTAAGTAGTATTATATAGTACAATTCATCTAAACAATGGAGAGTAGGTAAAGGAGAAGATACCAGAACTTCTCTCTGCATATGGTGTTCTGTTTTCCTGTAGAGCTCCTGGGGTCCCTGAGCATTGCAGAATATTCATAAGATAACAGTGAAAATAAATAAATAAATAAATAAATAAATAAATAAGAAGAAACAAGAACAAAACAAAACAAATTTCTATAACAATATCATGACTCTGGCAAACAGATTTGGAAAATTCTGTACAAAGGTTTGCTGCTCCAGGTCTTTTTTTTTTTTTTTTTTTTTTTTCTGGAGATTTTAATGCCCTTTCTAGCATTACCAGTCTCCATTAATATTTCCTTGTCGTTTTACACACCCTTGTTTGATCTATAGTGAATAAATGTGTCAGTGCTGCTAGAGCTGCTAGAAAGGCAAGCTGATTTCAGCTCTAAAAAAAAAAAAAAAAAAAAAGCTATAAGTTGAGAGCTTTCTCTGTGAGTGAACTGTTATAGTG